AATCTAAGAGCGGCATTGTAGCAGACGGTATCGACGATAAATCTTTGGTGCTTCTAGCCTGCGAGGTGCTGACGTTAGCTTCTTATAAGAGATTAAGGCCACTGTGGTACCTTTGTAGTCTGTATACTTGCTTTTGCGCGCTTCATGGTGATATCCCCGCGTTAAGATCGCCTCAGTGAACAAGTCGGGGAAATGAGGATGAAGAGAAAGTTGGAAGAGGAGTACAGTAGTTGCCGTGCTAGATATACTGCTCTAGTCTGGCGCTAGCGTAGTGGTTGTACTCTTGGTAAGAGAGTCGTCTCGGTGGGTAGCAAGGTACCCAGGTAAAGGTAGCAGTGATATATACACGTCCCGTACAGCTGTCCGGGTAAGCCCAAGTAGCCAGTGAACTGGCAGGTGATGTGCAATGGTCAGTCCTGCACCTCGTCCTCCATGTACTCCTGCAGCAGGTCCTTGCGGCCGGCGTACGGCGACGGCTCGACATACGTGCCCTGGAAATGTGCCATCCAATTCTCTCCTACTCGCGCCGGCGTGCTTTCCCGGTCGACTGGGATTGCCGTGTTGCTATCACAGACGCTCAAGTCGCCTATGTCGAAACGAACATTTCCCTCGCCTTGTTGTATCCCTCGCATAACGCGTGTGAACGATTCAGAAAAGAAACAGCAACTGTCCAGGAGGCTAAGCGGGCTTATGGGACGTGGAGCGAGCGATTCGAGTGTTCTTTGCCACCTGGCATCTTCGAGCATTTGCTCAAGGAGAGCGAGCGTGCTTGCAGTGTTTCTGGAGTGGAAGATCAAAGACAAGCGATCGGGAGACAATCTCGATGAAAGAGCCACGGCTTCCTCAAACCACCGCATGAAGGCCTGAGATACGCGCACTCGTTCTATCTCTCCGTCGATGTCCCAGACTTGACCATCGTGGTATTGATCTACGAGTTGCTCGAAATAGGGCTGACCGATCTTACTCGTGATGGCCATAGTCTTTGTATCCACTTGGCGACGAATACTGATGCGGGGATACTGTTGCAAAATGCTGACCAGACCCAGGCCATGGCACTCCGAATATGCTATGCTGGCGTGGGCTTCATCGAGTACAATCTTGCGAACAGCGGATAGAACGCTCGGGTCTAGACCGTTGAGAAATTGTATGGCAAGCGCAGCTGCGGAGAAGTAGCGCTTAATGGGACCGTCCTCATATATGGGGCTATCACTCTTTGATGAACTCGAGGAGATGCATTGTTCTTTCAGCGAGGCGATTTCTGCTGGGTTGGGTATCATCCAAGGGTCAGGGGTCCCAGCGAGCAGTGATGCTACATTTGGCTGTTCAGGCCGCTGCCCAAGGACTTGATCATCTTTCCAAAACTCCCACCACCTTCTTGTCCCCTTTCCCCGGGACAGCATGAACTTGACGAATCCACGATGAGTGGAAGGTGGATGACGCCAAAGTCTCCAGTCAACCACCATTTGCAGGGGGGTCGGTGCAATCGTTTCATGACCTCCGCGAAGGCGGTGAAGCAGCGAGAGACATTGGGGAAAGTCGACTCCGGCATGCTCAATCATATCTTCGGTGATGGCTTTACGAACCTTGTAGAGTTGGTAGGCGGTCTTTATATGAATCCATTTGAGAGCGATTGCAAAGGACGCGGCTCTATCGCTCGTCTCACGGTCGACCCAGCCCGTCCGAAAAGTGACGGTATTTTTTTCAAAGATGACGGGTCTTAACTCGTGGGCTACTTGACTGCAGGTTTGCATGAATGCGAGATTGATCGGGTCGCCGTTGGCTGTGCGTAGCCTGCGCGTGCGCTGATTATAGAGATAGCCGCCATCCTGGGCGGCATAGTAGGTATAAATCTCATCCCGTAACTCTCGAGGCAGATCGAAAAACCCCAGCATGGCAATGTTGTAAGTGGTGACGGGTTGCGGGATAGGTTGAGTGTTCTGATGAAATGGGTGAGTGATGATGGACAACTAACGAAGGAGCGAGCCATGGACCCCACACATGTCGCCAAGAGGAAGCGGTAGCGAGAGCGCTCAACCATGAGCTGCGCTGAACGAAGTGAGACTAGCGACATCGCTGTGCCAAACAACACCGATGCCTAGAGCACTGCGTTGTCTCTGTGGCAATGCGTGCAAGTGCAAAAAGCACGAAGATTGACCGAGACAGTGTCGGTTGAAGAATTGATTCGCGTGCCAACACACCTCAACCGGCATGACGTCTCTAGTGTATCGTAGATAACCCAAACGCCGTAACAATGCAGCCTGTATAAGGATAGAGATCCATGTACACCATATGATACATTCCGTCATTGTAACCCATCCGTCTCTTCTGTTAACCCGCTCATGATGCCATCACCTGAAGTTGGCTGTTCCTGGCACGTCCTTGATCTCCTCAAACTTGGTGCCCATCTTCACGACGCTGTATCTTATCAACCGAGGGTCCAAGCTCATGGTTCGCCGTAAAGCGTGCTGTGCGCGGGCGCTCGCATCGAAGCGCATAATGAAGTGGTGGCCGTAGTGGTGTGTGGTTTGCAGCTTCTTCGCTGGCTTGGGGAGGAGGAAGGTGCCCCAGTTGGAGACGCCGCGGACTACGCCTTGTTGGTCGAGGACAATCTTTCCGGCGGTTTTGGCGATTCTGGAGCATATCGGGTCAGCGTTTGGCTGGGGGTGTTGGAGGGCGAATTTACTCTTTAACTTCAGAGAGGCGGCCGGGCCGTACCTGCACCTGTTAGCATGTACTCTTGTGATCAATGCGACGCTCCTCCTACCACTCCGATCATCTCGTACAGCATCTTGCCTCGTTTGCGCCGTGGTGTTGCTGCCGTCGTGCCTTCCGTCGCGAAAAGTGTTCGAATGCGGCCAACCTTTCCGTAATCGCGGAGGAGCTCCACCAAAGTCTTGGCGCGTGTTATCACCTCTCCAGCGCCCGCAACTTGAAGCTTCACAACCCACACACAATTCGCTACAATGGCTGCCCGGACTTCAATCGCACGCGCTGTGCGCCAATTCACCTCCGCCGCCGCGAAGAGGCCATCACCATTCGTCTGCCAGAGGTGGCAGCAGGCGACTCAGAAGCCACGGTTATTCTCGGTATCTGCCGCACGTACGCACATCTGAAGCTCTGAGAAGCAATTGAGAAGCGAGCATGAGTCCTGACTGAGCGCAGTGAAGGAGAAGAAGTACACCGAGGACCATGAGTGGATTGAGATGTCTGCAGACGGCAAGACATGTATGCGCACCCTCCCCCACATCCCCACATCCCCATACGCCCTTACTGTCCAAGCGCTCTGTGACTGACACATCGCGCAGGCACCCTAGGTATCTCCGAATACGCGGCTAAGGCCCTCGGCGACGTCGTCTACATCGAGCTACCCCAGATCGAAATGGACGTTAGCGAAGGCGACGCCATCGGTGCTGTCGAGTCCGTCAAGTCTGCCTCAGACATCCTCACACCTATCTCTGGTACCGTCGCGGAAGTCAACTCAGCGCTGGAGCAGACTCCAGGCAATGTCAACAAGGACCCCGAGGGCGAGGCGTGGATCGCCAAGATCACCGTGTCTGGAGAGCCAAGCGGCAAGACCATGACCAAGGAGGAGTACGCCGAGTTTACTGAAGAGTAAACGTGCGGGAAGGAGTTTGAGGGAAGGAAGGATGCATGGGATACAGGCACCTAGGCGCATACTTCAACATGAAATGCGAAACTTCAGTCAGAACTTCACTCTGCGCGTACCGGCCATCGAGATCGTCGTACTTGCGATGATGACTGCAGAGAATTGACAGCAAATAGGAATGCATTAACATCCCAGGAATTTCGTATATTTCTACTCCAAACGATCCTCCTCTTCCCATGCTGTTTCCGACTCCCCAATCCTGTCCACAGCTTCAGTCACCATCTCCGAAACCTCCAAATACAGATCACGAAAAGCTTCCTCCTTCCCTCTACCCCTGCCCTCAAGTATGATCTTATCATCAACGACAAGATACATGACGTATGTGCTGTCGCGCGCAGGGCGACTACCCATCTTCCGCACACGAAAATACACGTCCGATCTGATATCCAGCTGAGGGAAGTAGCCTTGCTTATATAGCCAGGCCATATTCGCTACTCAAGAGGTCAGTAAACATACACAATATTTGAATACGGCCGATCAAGCGAAAAGCGAGGGAATTGAATGCGCGGGTCATGGTAAGGAGGGAAATACTCACTGGTCAAGCTAACATCGGACTTGGAGACCCGAAGCAAGAGCTCGTTGAATCCAATGGAGATGTCTTGTAGCGACAGATATTTGCGATCTGTATCTTGTTAGTTGATTTCGCTCTCATTAAAGTGGAGTTGGAACCAACGTACCGTTGGCATGCCATAGCCTAGTATCTTCGCGCTCTGCGACTTCCTCCGCTGACTCGGTTGAAGCAGATGGCGACTTCAGTGGGCTTTTCATGGATTCCGAGGGTTTCTCTTCTTTTCCAATACCCATGGAGAGGGCGACGTATCCCAGCATGGTCGTGGGAGGGAGCATACACAAGACGCATATCGTAGTTAAAATCATAGCTTGGTGTTGTAGATTGATGCACCAGAAGGCTTGTTGGTTTCGAAAAAGCGAGGGCTGATGGTGAGTGCACACTTCGCTTATATATAACATCCAGCGCTTGATGTCTGGCTGTCGCTATGCGAACCTTGGGAGAGATGTTCAGGAAGCGAGAGTAGCCAGGTTATGTCTTCCACGCCCCAGAGACGACGGGCCAACCACACCTTCCGCAATTCATACGACCCATGAACAATTATATGGTCTCGAATGATAAGTATGGGAACTCTACAAACTTCTTCCCAGTGTCCCAAGGTTCACGTATCTCAGTCACATTACGCTTCTAACCCTTCGAAAAAAGCATCTAAAAACACCCGCCCGCACCAACACCTCGATAATCCAGCTAAAAATCTGCAAGTCGCACCGCCGCACACGTTCCTGAGGCTCAAAGCTGATCCCGAAATCTCATCAAAACTCCAACATGACGAACGGCAAAGCCATAACACCCGGCGAAAGCGCCCTCACTACAGGCCCAACTGCAGATCCCAATCGACCATCATCTCCAAGGTCCTTGGTATCAGAATTGAGAGTGCTGCTGGGAGTGATAGATTCCCGCCCGAAGCCCACTTTCGCACAATCGCAAGTCGCAGTCGAACTCAAATCGGCATTCTCACGTTATTTTATCATCTACGACGACGACGATGATGATGACGAAGATGATGGTGATGTGTGGCTGGAAAAGAGCATAGGTGCGCAAACTCCCGCCCCATTCCGACTCACATCCCGCTATGCCGTGGCACTGTGTACTTCCCTCAACACGACCAGCTAACACGAAAGCCAGAGAACCTATCTTTTCTCGCCGTAAACAATCGCTTCCCTCCCAGCCTTTCGCTGAAGGACTATGCAAAGATCGACGTGTTGACCTCTCTGCGGGGTCATGATCAGTATGCCATGCTCCTAGTGCACGAGAATAAGGTGTTGGTCGAAGGACAAGCTGGCGAACATGGGAAAATGGCCAAGGGCTTGTTCAAGTCCATTGCGATGGAAGTTGGGAGGGTTATTAAGGAGAGGAAAGAGATGGGCGAGAGATGGGTCGGCCCGTGAGAGAACAAGGGGGTTTGTAGAGAGGACTGAGATGTTGGTGTTGGATATAGTGTGCATTGAAGACTTATAGCTATATACATACCAAACCACCAGTTGGATTTCATCCTCCGCCGTCCACATTTCCCTTCCTTACACCTCACACGTTCTACCAAAAATCTATCCAGTCCACACATTGGGTCCAGGGCAAGTATACGTAGTAGCCTTGCTACCATACGTATCAACCATGATTCCTGGGTCACTCTGCGCCGCGTATCCGGGAATGTTTGCCAAGTAGTCACCACTCGGGGAAGCACTGCCAGAACCCGTGACTTCAATTTGTGCGCATTCAGCATAGAACTGAGGTGAGTTGGCCTGATGAAGAGCAAGAAGCTCGTGACGAACGAGATAGTTGCCCGGTGCGAGGGACGCGGGGACCTTTGACTCCCAGTACAAGTTCTTGAGGACCTTGGCGGTGCCCCAGCTGCGGCCCGAGAGGGGAGGTGCGGTCATGCCTTCTTGGTCTATCTAGCCAGCGTCGTTAGTAGGAGATTTGAATGTGTCAGACTTGATGATGTGTGTACCTTGAACCACTTCTTTCCAGAACCGTCGCAGCTCTTGAAGTCGCCAGAGCACTTGTACATCCAGACCATAACAGGCCCTTGCTCGTGTGTCCATTGCTTCCAGTTTGCGCGTATCTTCCCGCCGGCTGCTACCTTGGCGGAGAGGTCGGCTGAGGTGCCGCCGTTGCACATGACCTTCTTGTCGTTGACGCTCATGGTGGGGTTGTAGTCAGGCCATTGGCGTTGGATGGTCTTAGGTGAAGAGGAGGGCGAGAAGCCTTCGTATCTGAGGTGGAGGTTAGGTACTTGTCTTGATGGTCTTATTGGGGGTGGGCTTACCCAGGGTAGGTCACTCCGTCGATGACATAGCTGGTGACAGCGCCGTGGGCTGCGGCTTGGGCTGCGAGGAGCGCTGTGGGTAAGAAGACGTTTGAGAACAGCATATTGAAGGCGAATAAATGTATGCTTTGAGGTGTGATATGATCTCCATCCCGTCTGCACCCCAGCCTTATATACTCGCATCGTTGCAGCATTGCCCTGCCTCAACGCCCACCACTACTCTCCAATATCCCTCATGATCACATTACCACAGCCCACCACTCACCTCTTTCTGACAAGCCTTGTCGCGCCCACTTCACATAAACGCGATAGTACTACCTCAATATCCACGTAATATACAAAGATGCTGTGCCCGGACCGGTTAAACACCATTGGCTGCACAACACTATACGTGCTTCGCTAGCGAGCGAGCCTCCATGTCGGCTCTTGGGTCCCGAGCCAGATCGGGAGGATGATGGGGCCGCGAGCGGTACCCCGGATGTTTAATCTGCACGCGAAGGTGGGGATGTGCGGCGTGACGAGGCACAAGGTGAATGGCGCATGTGTTGTCTTGTAAGCGACAATATTCTGGAATATGCAGATGGAAGCCACATGTGAAGCGGAAGAGGCTTCGGTAGCAGTGGGAAGTAGTTTTAATGGAGGTGTCGCTTCAGGTGCTCGTTGAGAATGAGTGCACCTGGGCAGCGACGAATGATCTCAACACCCAACCGGTAGTCGTACAATGGAGTATTGGCTTGGATTGGAAGTTGTTTTGGACGGATGAACCTCACACTTTAAGATGAAGATCATCTTCCTAGTCACCTTAGAAGGCGAGGTTCATGTTGGCTGCGCAATCGTGCTAACGACCGGCACCTGTCTGAGGTGTGAAAGCCACGTGCAGGATGCGCTTGGGCGCACTTGGTGACAGCGACTCATGGCTTGAATGCGACCTGCCATCTGTGGGGTAAGAAGCAAGGACCCCCGATGACATCATGAAAGCGATGTTAAAAGTGATGGAAGTCATGAAAGAGCACTGGAGGTGTCAGCACAAGCACCAGGCGGAGGCGCTAGCCCTCACGCTAGCTAGGCGCACCTGCCACGGGCCTTTCTTAGCACTCCGTGAGTTTCATCAACTACACATGACACAGAGAGTGCAAAGAGCAAGATCATAAAGTGGGAATTCATTGCGAAAACGACTGTGACCCAAGGCGTGGTCTGGTATCTCTCACCCTGTCCAAATTTTGCAAGGAAAAAACATAAGCGCCCTCACCGTACTAACAGATGATCTAAAAGTTCTTCGACGCTTCAACCCCCTTTCCATCTCCCCCGTGCATGATTTCTTCATCGTAGCGATCAGCATCGCTATCGGTGTAGGCGACACTGATGTCCGTGATCTCGTCGCCGACTTCCATCCAGACGTCACTGGTCGCCGGAATAGGGCTGATCTTGCACAGCGCCCAATATGTAATGCTTGCGACCAGGAAGCCAGCAAAGAAGTTGAGGTCATAGATGCGCTTCGCACCAATGGGTACGTCGCGACCGATGGCTCCTGCGAACCCGACGACGTTGATGAGGATACCCGCAATGTAGGCTGCGTAGCCGCGCCAGTGGAATCCAAGGGTGTAGTAGTAAGGACCAGTCTTCTTTCCGGAGTATAGATCCTTGATCTGGAGGTATCCTTTTCGGACGATGTAGTAGTCGCAGATCATGACACCTGCAATAGAGGAGAGGAAGACAGAGTATGCGGAGAGGTAAGTCGTAAAATTGTTGGTGTCGGAGAGGAGATTCCATGGGCACATGACGAGGCCGACGAGCGCACAGATGTATCCACCACGTCTGATACTGATCCATCGGGGTGCAAGTGCCGTCATATCAGTTCCGGCACTGATGGAGTTCGCTGCGATGTTGGTTCCGAGTTGGGCGAGCGCGAAGGCTGCGGCAATGCAGAAGACACCGAAACGTTGCGCTGAGCCACCCTCATCCAGGAAAGACTCGAGCAACTTCAGAGGATCCCAGATAGCCTCGCCGAAGATCACAGTGGATGACGATGAGACGATGATACCGATGAACGAGGTGATGGCAAATCCAATGGGGATAGTAAGCAGTTGCGGAAGGAAGGCGTTCGATGGCTTCTTCGCAAAACGGGCGAAATCAGGGTCGTTGACGATCAAGGTGGCGAAGTTCGCAATGGCACTCATGATTCCGCGGACCATCATCCAGCCAAGCGCAGATCCGCTGAGTGTACCTTGTTGGTGAACAATCGGGCCCAATCCCTTCGCACGAACGACGGCCCAGATGAAGAAGGCGACGCCAGCAGTCGGAACAACATAGGCCTTTACGGTAAACAGGTGGCGAATCTTGTGTACTGGTGGGTAGATGAAGGGTAGCGATCCAGCCCAAAACAGGAAGAAGGACACAAAGGCGACGGTGGTCGTGCCGGAGCTGGGGATGCCATTGGTGATGCCACCAGTACCGGGGCCCTCAGAGTCTCGCCAGTTGTTCCAGATGGCGCGAATCATGAGGCGAACACAAGTACCGCCAATCCATGCTTGTACGCCGTACCAGATACTGGCCATGGCTGCACGGTTGAAAACAGGCCATAATGCTCCCCAGATACCGAAAGATGAACGGTTGACAACGGGGAAAGAGATGTGGTATGTTGCGCCGATACGGCCAGTCATGCAGACAAAGCAGGCAGCGATGGAGTAGCCAAGCTATCAGTCAAATCAGCGAGTGTCGGTCTAATTAATATCGATTGCCATACCCAGACACATATCCAAGATTGCCACCATGAAAGACCGTCAACAATGTTCGCGGACGAGATCATCCAGGTGTTGATGTTGAAGGAGTCGGCTGCACAGTATTAGCCTAAGTCTGTCGTTGCTTGGGAAAATGTTCGACGTACCGACCCAAAAGCCCACGAAATTCCAAGCACCCCATTGACGACGCTCCGGCTCGACAGGCTTCAAATCGTGGTTGAAGAGCATAAGCTGCGCTGTGGTGAGGTTGGGTTCGCTCTCCACGGCGAGCTTATCGGCCCAGTATGCGACCTTTGAGTTCTTGACTTTCTCCATGATCAGGCTATAGGAGAAGAGACCTTCGTCGCTGGAATGGTGAAGAGTCGAGGTTGCAACAGGCCTTATGAAGCTTTCGCTTCGGCTGCTCGAAGCCGCTGCTTGGTAGGATTCAAGATCCCCGCTCGGATGACGTGGGGTGCTGTCAGAAGCGAGTGAAGGTCTTGGTACGCCTAGTCTTGGTGAGGGTTGTTGGTGGAGGAGTGGCTGACGTTCAGGATCCACGATGGGTGGCGTCTGAGAGTAGTTGTGAATTAAGAAAGAGGTGATTAGATAGGCGCACTACTGCATGAGCGAATGTCGACGATGCTGAGGCTCCCATCTGGGGCACGCCCCATCTTAAATATCAGGAACGACTTCGCGCACCTCAAGATCTACCCTGGGTCCACTCCACGCCTAGGTGCTAAAGTGCCTCCGCATCGGAACTTCATGGTTGTGGTGGTTGACTGGTAGGCCCGTTCCGGTAGCCTTATCTTCGAGTTGCGATAGCCCACGCGGTGAGCTCCACCAAGATGCTCGCTGCAATTGCGCCACGAAAAGTCCCGACGACCAGCCCCGTGTGATTCGCATCTGCACCCTGCATAGTCTCCGAGGATGAAGATGCAGACTTTGCAGAATTTGGGTTCTGGGCGTGTGAAGGATGGCAAGACAAGTGGGTGGATTTCCGCGGATGACGCAGCGCCATCGTAACAACGGTATCGCGTGCCCATCCAGGGTGTGTACAGATGTCTTGGGGACCATGCACATCTGCACAGCTATCTCCGCGATAGGAGCCCTGCAGACAGAAATTTCGCTACTCTTTGACTCGATAGAAACATGTCACCACGTCCCTGGGCCCGGAGAAACTCTCTATCTCGCAGCATCCGACGCCATGATGGTTCGAGGTTGCGTCTCTGCGTTCGCTTGGGATGGTTAGCTGGGGTGCTATGGCAGGGAAGGGATAGCGGTTCTGCGGCAGGGAGATAAAGCCAATGTGGGGTATAACGGGGCGCCGCCCCAGCCACTCAGCGGCCGCCATGTCCAGTTTACTCGATGTCATCGAGTAAACCGTCGGGCTGCTTATAACATA